AATATAATTATTGCTGTATGTCTCTTTTTCTTTTTAATAAACAACAAGGTGTTAGCCGAGGTTTCCAAGCCTCGTTACCAAAGTGTACGTGGTAGAGCCTTATCATGTCAGGAAAAGTGCAATGACAGAAAAGGATACCGGACGTCCCTTGCAGTCACACTTCATCATTCTTTATTTAATTATTTCAATAACTTTTCAAACTTTTAGTCTGTTTGCTTATTTTTCATGTTCCAAAACGAAAAGTCCCTAGGCCATTTCCAAGTCGTTTTCCAGTAGAAGCAGTCCGGCTAATTCTATCTTTGGATTTCTTAACAGTGAGATTTTTTTATGGGGTGGGGTAGTTAGCCCCACACCCAACCCCCAACCTGGAGGACCAGTTCCCTGATATAATCCCCAGGGGCAGGGTGCCCGGCTATACCCCCAGACGCTGGGTACCCATTTTAGTCGCCTTTTACGACATGTATGAGCTACATTGGGACTATTCTTTCACACCCGGTCACCACACGGGTATATTAGTAGATTGATTTGTGCTTATTCACTGTGAATAATGTGAAGAGCAAATATTACTTGAGCTGAACATGTAGTACTATCCAGAAAGAGTCCATACAATTATTGCATAAATAGAAATATTAGAGTTAGATTGTGCAGAAAGAAGACATTATGGAATTTGTCTTCTTTCTACACTACTACACTATGCCATGTAATATGTTCTTTCTACACTACTACACTATGATTATGCCATGTAATTGCAGGATACAAAATCTTAAATAATGACGAACATTTTAAGAAACACATTTGAAATACAAAATAGAAACTTTGGGAATTTGAGAAGTAACTGAGTATAAAGAAAATTTTAAATAATATAAAATCTTCAGTAATACCGAAAACTTGGTTAAATAACTAAATAAGCAAAGAATAATATCTACAAGTCCAGAATAAATTATGATATTTAGCATTTAAATGTATAATAAATATGCTTCTTAAATCTCAGCTGCTCAGCAACGATGACACGTAGATATTTAGCAAAGGCGCTTGTAAATACAATATAGAAATTTCAGGACCTTGAGAAGTAACTTAGTATAAAACAAATTAAAAATTATATAAAATCTTGAGTAATATTAAAAACTTGGTTAAATAAGCAAAGAATAATATATACAAGTCCAAAATAAATTTTGGTATAAAGCAATTTAAATGTATAACAAACATGCTTCTTAAATCTCAGCTGCTCACCAAAGATGACACATAGATATTTAGCAAAGATGCAGCTTGAGAGAACTTTAAAAAATTACTTTTAAAGACAGCATCAATGTTACTTTGCAAGTGTCTGAAGTTTTTTTTTTTTTCTTTATTGGACTTAATATCGTCATTTTTCCTATTGCAAAGATTCTTGAGCATGATATTTGTTGATATCCAAATTATCAGTTTGCTTATACTTTTGTATGACCATTATCACAAATAATATCATCAAAGAGCATTTCTTTTAATTCTAAAATTTTAAAAGTCAAATTTGCTACAATTTTCCTCTGATTTTGTTCCAACAAAAAATCTTTATATTCTTCACTACACAGCTTATTTACAATTAAATAATTATACATAATTATATTTACAATAAATGGTTTTGGCCACCTGAGTCCACCACGATCAAGATTCTTTATAAGATCATACGTTTGATCATGATTAACTGTGGAATTTATTGTAATGTTTTGTTTGCAGTTACAGCATTTTACTTTCTTTAAAACTGCATGACAACAGTAACCACCCAAATAAGTCAGAACTGGCAGATGGCTACTAATGCCCTTCACATCACTCTCCGTAATATTTAATGATGGGTAATATACTGTATTATCTAATTCTATAATATCATGAAGATTATCATCATATTCAAATGATGTTAAAGGGACAGTAGTATTTTTAACAATCAATTCTAACTTAATACTTGATTGTATTCTTAATTTTTTTTTCACATTCTAATAACTGTCTCATTGAAATATGATACTGAGAACCAGAAAGTTGTCTGTATTTACCAAACCGGGCTTCAAGAGCATCAGTCTGAATTTTGACTGGAAGTATATATTTCATTCCAAGCTCTTCAACACAATATCTAGTCAACTCCAGTATACCATAAGTAGTTTGTTTGAGAGCTGCATGAGTTTCTTTTGTAAGCATGCCTGTTGAACATTTCATTGATTCCCATGCATCTAACCAGTTAAGAAACTGATTGAGGAAAATTACTTTTGGATCAGAATCATCTGCTGTTAATGGCTTCATAAATTCACTCTTTTGATGTATACCTTTAAACATAGTTTTAACATTCATAATATCCCACCATTTGCATATTATGGATATAAACTCAGATGTATCTGAATAGTGTGGTATTTCATGCAAAGGACCCAAATGAATCAGACCTTCAATAGTAAATTTATTGAAAATCTTAAGAACCAGTTTAATGTTTTGTTTCTCTAAATTAAAAGGTGAAAGACTTTTTAGAGTTAAACCATTAGAAAATGTAATCAGTTGGTCATTTTCAATTTCATGTAGCTTTCTCAAAGACATAAACGAAGCAGTTTTGAAGTGCTTATTTGAAAGACCTTCAATATTTGGAAAAAACATACATGTACCAGGATTTTTCTGGTTCAGCCAATTGTTCCTTATATTTTTAAATAAATGAACTGCATCTATTATGTAGAAAAGAGGCCTATTCCCATTCATTGGATGTTTGTAAACAAATGAATTACGTGGTGGATTTGAAAACAAACTCATGGCTTTTCTATTTATTGCATTGTTGTCTGTAATAACACAAATAACAATAATTCCCATATTTTCAAGACCTCTAATCACTTTTTTAATTACATAATGTAATGTTTCAAAATTTATTGTGTTAACAGGCATAATATGTACTACCTCTTTGAATGAAGATTCCAAACTGGATATCATAAAAGCAAATGCACTGGTTGCCGGACTGGAAGAATCAAATGCAGCCCCAACGACAGAGCCTCCTTTGTAATCAAAATATGGCTGAACATAAATTTCATCTACCAAAAGAATCACTTTTCTTTCTCGATCCTCAAGGAAAGTTACACGATTTTTTATATATTTAAAAAAATTTTCAGCAATAGTTTCATTACACGGTGACAATACTAAATTGCTACAAATTTTTTTTAAAGTCGAAGGATGAGGCATAATAATATTGCCACTATCCCTTAAAAATTTATATGCATGTGGTAATATAGTATTTAACAATCTAAAATTATTTTTAGGGCAAAGTAAAAGATTCATCTGGTCTTGCAAAAATTTAATAATGCTCTCATTTTTGTTGTTAGAGATAGTTTGCAGTAATTCATTAATTATATCAATTGTTATGGTTAATTTTGAATTTAACTCTTTGGTTTGAAGATTAGCCAATTTATCTAAAACAGTCCTAATTTCATTAAAATTTGTAACTTTATGTGGGAATGTGTAAGGAGATAATTGCATAATAGATTTTTCTTTAATAAATACAGACATTTCTTGATTGTCATTCACAACTACAGAATAATCAATTGATGGCCCAGGACTAAAAACAATATGAATAAAGCAAACAGTTGAGGTATCTGGAACTGTGTATACATGCCAAAATGCTGATATTCCATAGCGATCAATACATGACAAAATATCATTAGAACAATTAATTTTCAAATCATTATTATACATTTCATATTCTTTAAGGCTTTCACGCAATGCTTTCTGTAAATTATGGCACTAGCGGGCAGTTTTTTTTGCATCAGGATCTTCTCGTACAATGGTGCTACTTTTTGAACTGTATACAGATGGATAGTCCTTAAATATCGATGGCACTGTATTTTCTTTTAATCTACGCACCTGAAGTGGAGCAGAAATTAAAATTCCATTCTTAGAATCAAATGCTGAAGCTTCAACTTTAAAATCACTTTCCTTGAAATGCAATTCACAAACCTTTAGAGAAAAATTAAAAAAAAAAAAAAAAAAACCCTTATGTTAATAGTAATAGTTTAAAAATCAGAGGGTTCATTCTGAGCATTTGTAGTAAAGAATATTCATTTCACAGATAGAACCAGAGAATATCTGCAGTGATTAAAACTCTATTTCAATCCTTTATTTCTGTATATCCTGGTTTATGTAACAAAATATTATCATTTAAAAATTTCTGAATGAACTCTTATATGTAATTAGAATATACACTGTTAATTAATAACTCTACTTTACTTACCTTTGAACTCTTTTTGGGTGAAAAGTCGTTCCGTTGGATTGCAGAAAGCCACTCTCTCTTTCAAATCTTCATTTTTAGGAAAGGAGAATACAGACACTTTTGGTCCTGTTGGGTAGTTTCCCTTACATAATGGTACACAGCAACCCGGCATTTTAATAAATGAAATGTTTTTATTTAAATTAATATATAAAAGGGAGTAAACAGTTATGTATAAAATATAAATTAATTATTTTTAAATATAAAAAGGAGTAAATAGTTATAGTGTATAGCTAATGGCATGTAAAATTTTAAGAATAAGCTGTGTTAGCTTATATTTATAACATCAAATTTATACAGGTCCATAAAAAAATGTTTTTATTCTGAAACAGATCAGGTAATATAATTATGCAAAGCCCGTTTATTCTACGATGGGCTGACACAACATTATTCAAAAAGAAATTATACATAGCACAGCAGCCTTGTCTCTACCAGAAATAACACATGTATACTAGAACATACGCCTAAAAATGTTGATATAATTAGAAAAAAATAAATTTACAGAAGTAAAGTAATGTATTCTTACCTCTCTAAAATACATCCAACTTTAAAACCATAAAAAAATCAAAGTATTCTGGTTCAGCGTTCGCACAACGTAAGAAGCTTCAGCAATCAGAAAAGAGCCACTGCATGCGTTCCGAAGTTTATTATGACCAGAAGTCGTGACGTCACAGGAATTTTCGAACCGCGCGCTTAGGCTTGAGTAGGTCGGTGTTGCCGGGGGGGGGAGAGACTCTTCAAACACCACAAAATTCATAAAGCCAGACAAAAACAAAAAGCCTTATCTGCTTGATGGACTTTTTTCAAAATCATAAAAAACAGAATTTTTGGGGCGACTAAATTTCAACTCGGCAGGAAAATTTGATTGGTCAACGGTACACGTCATATGTGACGTCAAAAGCGGGTGTTTTAGATTTACCCCACAGGATTACCTGCTATTTTCGGTTGCTTGTTTTCTGAGCTCTGCAGTGATATTTTTTTGCGAGCTAAAAGTGTTTTTTGATAAAATATTTTAATTGGTAATTTAGGTATTGTTTGCTTGTCATTAAACACGTGATTACAAATTATTGTAAAGTATTTATTTTTGAGACAAACTTTTTGTAATCTATTTATTTTTCATATATTGCCTTTTGAGAACAGATAAATTTAGCGGAAATTTCCTTTGTTGAACAAAGGAAAAATGAAAAATGTTTCAGAATAGCAAAGCCGTGTTAGTTTCAGTCAAACATTAATATTTTAAATTAATAAATCATATTTATACCATTTTTTTGTGTCAAACATTAAATATTTTAATATCATATGCTACCATTTTTTTGTGTCAAACATTAAATATTTTAATATCATATGCTACTAGTTTTTATTCATTTTTTAATATTTCTGATGACAAAATAAGTTTTTTATTTTCTATTGTAGTACATAACTTTTTGTTATAACAATGGAATATGAAAAGATAGCAGTATTTGAATGTATGTACTGCTGCAAAAAGTACAAAAAGAAAAAGGTTTTATATGAACACATTCGGGAAGTACATAAAGTACCTGTTGTGGCTGAAGGAAATTTGAAATGTCCTATTAATGCCTGCAATTTTTCATGTAGAACGTTTGAAGAGTTAAGAAATCACGCAAGAGATCAACATGGATACACTCTTAACTCCGTTGAAATGACATTTAATACATATGAAGGTAAGATATTAGAAATTTGCATTTTCTGCGATAAACGTTTTTAATTTGAATAGCCCCAAACTGAGTACAAATTACTATTTTTGCAAATTCATTCATTCATCAAGCTGGGGAATAAAATACATCTATTTTTGTGAGTATAATTGATAACAGAATAATTTCCTTAGCATCTTGCTTTTTTCTGTTAGCCTGATAAACCCCCATTATTCTTCAGTAAAAATATTTCAAAGTAATATTTCTCTTCCTCAACTATTTGAAATATGAAGTAAACATTTTCTAAATAATAAAAACATATATAGAGATGTACTGCTACATAATTATTTATACATGTAATTCAGTGCTTCATTAAAAAAAAAAAAAAGACTATCCTGTTATTACACAAACGGATCTCTTAATGCATATGTATGATGAAGATATCAAAAATAATGTGGACCTAATAAAAAAATTTGTTAAAATCTTTATTAAAGTGGCAACCTTCAATCGTAAGTTTAGTATCATAATGATAGACACTTATTTTATTATATGTAAATGAGGCTTAAAATTTATTATATGTTATTTTAAAACTACTTAAAGAAATTTACTCGATGTCTTAAAATTTTAATAACCTATACACATTGTATCAGTTATCAAGAAACAGGCTACAATGTTTTTTTTTTTACTTTAGACATAGGCCAGATGACACTCATGTTATGGAAAATGTCTGATGACAATTTGTCTCTTAAGAATAAATTTCTTGCATTATTATACAACTTTGGGGAATATGTTTTAAGTCTTGTTTAGCTGGAACACGAGTACTAGTATCTGTCAAATAGGAAGAAAAATATGCCAATGTACAACTTAAAACAGAGTCGTAGCTAGGGTTTTCATCGCTCAGGGACAACTGAAGGTTTACTGCTTGCCAAGGATGGAAAACATTTAATTCTAAAATGTCGTAACATCAGTTTGGCGCCCCTTGGATTCTGCGCCCGGGGACAGATGCCCTCCTCTAGCTACGCCCCTGACTTAAAATTAGGCAACTTTATTTCAGTGTAGATTTTAAATAAAACTATCGGTTTTGAGAGCAATTAGACACAGGTCCCTCTTCTTGAAGAGAAAAAAAATTCTGCTAAAGTGACCAGTATCTATTTACAATCAGTGCCAAAATAAGATTTTGGTTAGTTTTAAATTAGTAATTTTGTTTTAAAGATTCAACTAGTTCACAATTATAATGGGCTTTTATATTGTATGTAGGCTAATGTTTACCCTTCAAATTTAGATTTCTTACAATGGAAAAGTGAGGAAGAACGAAGGGAAAAAATTTCTTACTTTTTGAGAAGTACAATAATAACTCTTAAAGAAGGTGGGAAAAAGAGTTACTTCCTTTGTAATCGATCTGGATTTTATAATTCTAAAAGTAAAGGTGTAAGAGCTATAAAATCACAAGGTACCTGCAAAATAGAGGGGCACTGTCCATCTACTATTGAAGTTACCAGTAATGGCATTAATTAAGATTTTATATTTCCAAACACACGTGGGACACACAGTAGATCTAGAACATTTGCCATTAACAAAAGATTTGCGAGAAGTGATTGCAGGTAAGTTTCTTTATGAACTTGATTGTGAAATTCAATATAAAACAGACATTATTATACAACATTATCATATAAATGCAATATTTTCAGGTAAGTTAAATGAAGGCATTCCACCACAGAAAATATTAGATTCCACAAGGAATAGTATTAAAGAAGACATTTACAGGGAGCATTTATTGACAAAAAAAGACATACATAACATTTCTAATTCTTACTGTATTGGTAATGATGAACAATATCATCCAACTGATGCTGTCAGTTTAAGGATCTGGATAGAAAAAATGAAATGTTTAGATGATAATCCAGTTCTTTTTGTAAAATTCCAAGGAGAAGCAGCAGATCAGCACTTGGAAATTAGTGACTTCTGCATCATCATAATGACAAATGTTCAAAAGCATATGCTTTTAAAGTTTGGATCCGATAGCATATGCATCGATAGCACACATGGGACTAATGCTTACGATTTTCAATTATCGACAGTTTTAGTCATAGACGAGTTTAATTCAGGATTTCCTGCTGCTTTTTGCCTAAGCAATAGAGTAAATTTAGGTTCAATGCAAAAATTTTTTCAGTGTATTAGGGACAAAGTTGGACTGCTGTCTGTAAACTGCTTTATGAGTGATGATGCACCAGTATATTATACTGCATGGACATCAGTAATGTGTGATGCCAAATTTAGGATTCTATGCACCTGGCACGTTAAAAAGGCATGGCTGCAAGCAGCAAATTCAATTATCCCCTCAAAGCGAAAGGAAGTTTTGAAATTTTTAAATGTAGTATCTGAATGTCATGATATAAAAGAATTTGAAGCACTGATATCTGATTTCCTCAGCAAACTCTTTGCTGATAGAGATACAGACAAGTTTGCTAATTATTTTGCTTCAAATTATGCAAACAGATGTGAGTTGTGGGCTAAATGTTATAGAAAAAGATGTAACATCACAACTAACAATCATCTTGAAGCACTGCATCGAGTTTTAAAATATTCTTATCTTGATGGATTGAAAAACAAGAGGGTTGATAGGTGCATTGCGAAGCTTATTAATATGGTGCAAGATAAATGGTTCCAGAGATTTATCAAAACAACAAAAGGGGCAAACACATCAAAGATCAACCAAACAAATTTACGACACAACAGAGCAATAAATTTTCCAGCTAATAATATCACAGAAATCAATGAGTTTTCTTGGCATGTGATTTCAGAAAGTGACCCTACTCTTGAATATACTGTTACTGTTACTCAAATACATACACAATGCATTAATTGTAACATTGTTTGTAAATGGTGCAAAATTTGTAACGATGCATTTGTATGCACATGCACAGATGCCACGATTAAAGGAAGTGTCTGTAAACATATACATGCAATAATTTTAAAGACAAGATTACCTAATAGAGAACAGCCAGCTAAAACTAAAGAATCAAATGATGTAAAATCCTTTCTTGATCTATCAGCACAAAAATTAAAAAAATCAGGAACCAAGCACCATATTATAGATCAACTGAGTATCATATCAAAACTTGTAACATCAACAACAGTAAATAATATAACTTTGGGAGATATTGAAAACACACTGAATAAAGTGATTACAAAATTAAAGAACGAAAAGCCGAAATTGAAAATGGTGAACTATGAACCTACAAATAAAAAAGCAGAGAAACAAAAGAATTTCTTTTTTACGAGAAAGAAAAGAAAAAGTCCATGCAGTACTGAAAATATTGCAACAACTTCATACAAGAAAGCTGCTATAGATGCCATTGGAAATAATGAAACTCTTATAATTCATGATTCTTTTGATCATGCATATATTGATATCTCATCATGTAAATATATTGTATATAAAATAATCTCTAAATAGTTTATAAATTAAAATATGATGAATTAAAAACAGTATATAAATTTAAAATGCTCTTAATCTTGTCACTACTTCATCCTTGCTAGTTACACAAGTAATTTATTAATCAGTTTTTGATCTGCATATTCTGTCGCAGTATTTCACTACTAAATTATTAGTGTAAAGTTCTCCAGTTGATGGTACACATACAGTACAGTTAGCAACATCATTTTACACAAAACATCGACATATAATGTGTTTATTAGGACGTATCACAACAATATGTGCAAAAGAACTAAAAGTTTCAGCATGAAATATGCAGTTACAGATTCAGTCAAATATAGATAGTAACATCATATACAGATAGAGAACATAATAGGAATAACAATCGCACTTGATTATTACAAAGGAAAATCATAATTCAGTATCTGCTGACAAATCAGAGTGTGCTGGTATTTCTCTAAATAAATGATTAAAAATGCCACAAAAATATAATAAGTGCTTTAAAATTCTTAAATTCATATAAGTGTAAATCTTAGTGTTTTTGAAAATGCTACTGTATTTTGTTATTGAGCATTTTTGAATCGCTAGTGATTACAATAACAATTTATGAATAGTGAAAACTTAAATTATTCCAAGAGAATTGATTAATAAATTTCATACAGTAAATAAATCATTGGGCTGCAAAAGTATGCAGATATATGACAACCAATAACAGAAATAAAAATAAAATCTTTAAAAATTTTATAAAGTGGCGAAGCATGCAAGAGCTATTTATTTATCTTGTAAACAATACATTTTCAGTAGAATCAGTACTTTAAAAAATTGATATACTTTGGAAACATGCTCTGCAATGTAGTTGTTTTGTGATGAAACTGTTGATAGTGATGCTTTGATAATGCTTTTGTTGATTTGCTCCACACAGTAAAACTGTAGAATTTATGTATACATAGTTCTTGCTTTTATGTATGGATGCAAATTATACAGCTTTTAATTTTTCATGAAACTTGCATACATATTAAAGTCAAGTGACTTTTCAGAATATTACAACATTATAAATCTCACACCTTGAGATTACTAAGGCTTATACACAGATTTCAAAGGAAAATATTATTGATATAGACACAAGTATATAGTTTTCCATTAATTAACACATTGTTATTGATGAAGATCTCTTTAATGATTCTTACATAAAGCTATTTGGATTTTTTTCCAGAGGAAAAACAAAGTTTCATTTAAGAAAATAAACCACAGAATATTCTTAATTTTATTATAAACTTTCATTACATCACATGAATCTGTAAACACTGAACTAATCGTTTTTAATTTAAATCACAAATGTATTCTTCATATTGATTTATTGACAGTATGAATAACGACCAAAACTTAATATTATCTGTATATAATAAGAAATCATTGATACATAGGGTAAAAATAAGCATGAAGTTAGACTATATTAGCATGCTAATGGATCAACTAATGGCAAAAGACTTTTAAAAACCTTTACCTAATCATTTGTACAAGATTATTTAATGAACACAAAATGTATAGGAGTTACTCCAACCCTTTTTTGACCGTGGACACATTCTAACATATATTTTGAGATCTTGTACCCTTATGACTAAACATTCATTCAAACAGATTTCAGGCATGAGACTTTTAAGTGCTTCTTTGTCATGAAATTACCTTATGATCATTTCATTCAACTACTACAAATCAAGGAAAGGAGAATTAATTACCAGTGTTTTATACTTTTAGCCACTTGATAACGTTACATAATATGGATTAACTCAAAGCACATTCTACTGATTATAATCAGATAATTGCATATCTCTTCTGAGAATTTAGATTCTTCCGCATTCATTTCTTTGCAGATCTTGCTCTAAATGGATTTCAATACATATTTACCACTAATAATCGCAAATGATAAGTAAATAACAAATTAATTTTTATTCTAAACATGATTTGGGATGGCTGCATAGGCGTTTTCGTGTTTTTTTTCCTCATGTGTAACGTGTATATGAGCCAGTTTCCCTTAGAAAGTTCTCCAGGAAGGCATTCTTCCCTGTAGGCAGTTAGCTCTCGAGTGCTTTAATCAAATAAAAACCTATTTTAAACTACAATTTCAAATTTTGTATTTTGTCCTTATTTATTTCACTAAATAATTGAAGTCCTCTTTAGTACATACACATATCAGGCGCTATTTTATCTTCATTTACAAAATAAAACAGTTGAAGTAGTTTTAGGACTTTTCTCTCATGGGGAAAAAATATCTGCATTTTATCCAATTTCCTTTATGAAAACTGAAGTTTTCATACCAAACGACACATTCTTACAATATAACCTTCCTTACGAACTCTCTTATTTACCATATAAACCATTTCGGATCTTTGCTTTGGTAAATGGTCTAAGGCATTTTACCAGTATATGGCTGTCATAATTCCTAAGGAAGCATATTAGAAAAACAAAACGGTCAGCTATACACAGGGTTTAATTTCAAAAATTAGAAGTACCAGAGCCCTATAGAAGACCTTCAGGAAAGAGGAACAAGAATAAATAAGAGAATAAGATGACTAATAAAATCATTAACAATTAAATAATTCATTATTAAAAAAATTAATGGTTAAAGTAATTAAATAATTAAAATTTAATAAAATGCAAAGTGATAAATTAGAATTTAATAAGCAATTTTTAATATAATTTTATTATTAAAAATAAAGCTTCCAAGACCAGGTTTCTACTGAAATTATTGTTCAGTTACATAAAAGAAGTGCCAAAGCCTTCTTATTTAGGGCTCCGGCTAAAATTATGAATTTTTCCTAAAACTAATAAGTATCTGAGCCAGCCTCCGGTGGGCTCCGACGCAATTTAAGCCCTGGCTATACGGATATCTTGGTAAAGCAAGAGAAGAACCCATCTTTGGTCATGACCAAACATGGCGCATGATGAGTTTTGATTGTAAACCACATGAGAGGCGGAGTTTAAATACGTTGAAATGACGTCACCAGAGCCAACCAATCAAAATTTCCTGCCAAGTCTCACCCGGCTACGGGCCTTCATTTGCACGCTTCAGGGAAGTTATCAACTTGCTCAAAGTTCCGCTATTGTAAATGTGCGTAAGAAATTTTTTTTAGTGGATCAGTGAATTTACAATCTGTATATTTGATCCAAGTTTTGGAATAATTCTAAAAAATTATATTTATGTTGGTAAAAAATTGAGTGAAAATTATGTGTGGGCATCCAATCATTTATTCTTTTGCTGGGTTTTGTGGGTTATCCTTTTGCTGCTTGGTTGCCTCATATTTTTTCAGTCAAATTAAATACTGCTACTTTAACTTTATTGTAAAGTCATATTTTCTTTCGTTTTACCGCATAATTTTAATTGCACGAATTTAAAGTTGAACGAGAATTTTGAAGAGGCTTGGAATTCTTATAGTAATAAGTGCATAGTTTAATTGCATAAATTTTCCTTTATTTAATTAAAAATGTTTTTAAATTTGCCCTTTGTAAGAATATATAATCATTCACTTTTACAAAACTGTTGCTTTATTTTGTGGAACATTCATTTACTTATTTTTCAAATGTGGACAGAATTCTGTCTTTGAGTCTGCAGTTATTTTCCTTATGAGAATAAATTTATTATCATAAAAAATGCATTCATACACATATGGTACATTAAGCAGAAAATATGTTAATTCTAATCCTCATTCACATGTAAAATAACAGGAATGACTGTAAGACACGTAAATAGCATGGAAAATGTAAAATAGGATGAATGACAATGAGACAAAATATTTACATATATATTTGTGGTTAAAGTGCAGAATCGCCCACTTATTTGGCGCTTTTTACAAGAGCAAGAAGACTTGGATTTTTGTCAATTTTCGTTGACCTTTTTAAGTGCAAATAGATCGATGTGTATATGGATAAAGTCAAGGAATAGCACAATGCCATTTTTGTGCAATTCTGGGATGTTTTTTTAAGTGAAAATAGGTCGATGTGTACATGGATACGAGTATATGCAATTCTTAAAAACGCGCCATAGCAATGGGCGATTCTGCACTTTCACCATATTTGTTTTAGTATTTATAATTCATTCTGTTTAAACATATGAAATATATTCTGTTTTTAAATATCAAGATCCCCCCCCCCCAGATATGAGCTAATGTAATTTGGAGATAAGAAGTATATTTTTTTAATAATTAATGAGTGATAATTTTTATAAAATAAATGCCTTAATAATGTTTGCGTTACTTTCTTGTGGTAATTTTTATCTTCTTTTGCATTCAGTGATTCCTCTGGTGTAGTATTTTTAATTTATAGCATTTCAGAAATTTATGAACATTTACAATGAAGTATTGTCTGAATGTAATTATTTTATTTTAAAAATTAAAGGAATTATCTAATAAATAAAAGCAGTTTTTATATTATAATTTTCTTAAGTATTTTCTAAAAGTCTTCAATTTTATGTATTTCAGTTCCTTTAGCTGGTATGACAAAGTAAGCAAAATGCCCAAACCATTGAATGTTGAAAAACTGGAAAGGAAGTTTGCTTCCTTAACCAGATCAAGAGAGAGTATTCTTGGTTTATCTTCATGGATATTTCATCATAAGGAGAATTATAAGGAAATAGTAGAAGCATGGCTAAATTCATTAATGAAAGGTATAAGTAATATGTATACTTATGTAAGTGTCTGAATATATTGTGGTAAAAATATATTTACAGGTGCCCCTTGGTGAGTTTTGGTTGTACATGGACACCGAGTTCGTGCAATTCTTTGACATATTATTTTGCCTTTGTGTATCGCCGATTTTTGCACCAAAAATCGCCCTTACACAAAGTCAAAATAACAATTCAAAGACTTGCACAAACTCGGTATCCATGTACACATTGACCTATTTTCGTTAAAACAACATCAGAGAAATGCACAAACTTGGCATTGCACACTTCCTCGACTTTATCCACAGCACATCGATCTATTTTCTCAAAGGAGCACCCAGTTCTACATTTGAATTAACAAAATATATATAATATGAATAAACTACATTTTAAATAAAACGATGAAATAATATAAAAATGGAAATTCATCTTATAGTATCTAAGCGCTACACAAGGAAATATCCACTTACCTTATTTAGAAATTACTGTGTCTTCAGTCTGTGGCACACAAAATTCCTCAGCAGCATCCAAAAACTTTCCTCAAACCATGTTCCTTTCTAATGGAATGTTTTATATGGTGAGCATTTGAACCTTTCTTGCAACAAACCCATTCAAAGCCACCTGAACAATCTTTATGTTCGACCATATGCATTTCCTTCATACAAACAGGATTCTTATAATTCCATTAAATTACATCCAACAAAGTTTCTTTTCTTCTCAACTACTTAAAAAAGGGTACTACAGTCAAAAGTCGTTAATTCGGACACCCATAATCCGGAATAATACATAATCCGGATCTCAAAGCTAAAAACTTTCTGCGCATGCGCCGCGTTGACACGTGCGCATAGGCGTTTATGCGTGCGCGTAAGACCTTTGCGACTGCGCATATGCGTGTGCGCAAGTGCAGAATACGCTTTCGCGTGCTCATTTAATGTAGAACGGACGATATAAGCTAAAATTATCTAATTATCTATTTCAGTTAATGTTGATGATTGCGTTGTACCTTATCTTCGAACTGGATCCGGCTTATTACTTTTTTCAGACTGTAAGAGCAATTTTTATAAAAGTAAACTTGAACTTTCGATTATGTCAAATAGATTTCCGATGCTGGAGCTCCCAAAGGATCTACAAATGAAAGTATGTTTCGATGTCCATCAACAAAAAGTGGAATTGCTTGCAAAAAAAAACGGATAAAGACATGAAGAAGGTGACAGAGAGGTTTAGTGAAAACGAAAAATTTCGTTTGACAAGTTAGTCGGTATTCTCGGCACACAGCAATTACAGGACTTGAACAGCGGAACTTTGTAATTGAACGAGAAATTATGTCTGTTTTTATAGAATTAAAGAGAAAGTATTATCACATAAAACGAAAGGAACTTAAACAACTTTACATTGAAAGAAATGCTTAATAAAGTAAACAAATAAATATTAAGCTTTTTTTTTTTTTTTTTTTTTTTTTTGTAAATTTTGATACCCTTTAGATCATAATTGTTTCTTTATTTCATAATTACAGTTTCATATTTTTAATTTTAGAATTTCTGCTGCCATCTTACAAATTTAAACTGATGATCTATAAATCCGGAAATCGCCGAAGTCCCGTGAGTCCGGATTAAACGACTTTTGACTGTATTCGGTTTCGGGACTGTAAAAAGTTGCCAAACTATTGTTATGCCAATGCTGCCAAAATAATTGCAGCAACCCTAATAATTGCCATAAAGGAAGTATAATAGTAATTAACTATCTAAGATTGATGTTTTAATTTAGATGAAGGTTATTTCAACTATAATACTTTAAGAGTAAATTTTTCAGATCATTAAATTTATATAAAATTGCTAACATAACTAATGGATGCCTGCATCGCTTTTCGCTGCTGACTTATCGCTACAGCATAATTTTATCTCGTTTGTTGTTCAAACATAATTTTCTATAATGAATGATGCCTTTTCTTTGAAAATATTCTCGGTAAAGTGCAGAATTGCTCACTTATTTGTTTGTCGCTTTTTACAAGGGTTAAAAACTATTGGATTTTTGTCAATTTTCTTTTACTTTTTAAGTGAAAAATAGGTCAATATGTACATAGAAAAAGTCAAGGGTGTGCGCAGTGCCATTTTTGTGGAAGTCTAGAATTTTTTTTTTTTAAAGTGAAAATAGGTCAATGTGCACATGGATACCGAGTATGTGCAATTCTTAAAAATGCGTCAAGCAGTGGGTGATTCTGCACTTTACCCAAAATTCTATTGCCGAACTTTTCGTCATGGACAGTTCCCAAATTATTAAATCCATAGGATATCAAAAAAGGATTTAAAAATTAAACTAGTATTTCAATGGCCTCTTAAGAATTATAGAACTATATAAACTATATAGTTTGAGGAACTATTGAGGATTATACATAATTGTACATAATTGTATGATACATTTCTGTTCTTTCCGTATGTAACTACAATCTATTTTTGCTTTTAAAACATCAGAAAATTTCATAAATACTCAATCATGGACAGCCTCAGCACTGCGCTTATTGAACATCATTTATATAAGGTTTATATGATGCGTAAAAAACTGCTTTTGTGATAAATTTATTTATCTGATGGCAAATAAATCTTATGTAAATGCGAAAAACTATTCTTGAGGGTTATTTTTGTGCAACATATACTAGATAAGATGAAAATGAAATTGACAATTGCATTTGTGAGTTCCATGCGTAGATCTTTTAATCGAATTCCGCTATCCCTTAATCAAGTTAATGCAAGCACCAGAAATAGTTGTTGAAAATGACAAAAACTCAATCACATCTTTCTGCCATGAAGCATATCAATGACATGGAAGTTAAACAGGGTTCTTTTTACACTGTTTAAAAATATGATATTTTAAAATTAACGAATAGCATGCAAAAACAAACCTCATGTGACCAAGAGAAAAACTTGTCACAGTCTCATTAACTCTGGTTATCAAGAAAATATGGTGGCCAAAAAAACATCATTATGATCCAATGAAAAATAAGGTTACCAGATTAAAATCTTTATGTAATAATGAAATTGCCAAATTTGGAGTGTCATTTATACTTTTCTACAGTCAAATCCATTGACCATTTTTGTAGTCAAATCCAATTGATGTGGGAGAATTTGATCAACATTAATTTTGCTCTCATAATAGACATTTTTATGAGTCCTATTATATACTGATTAACAGATTTGGTTTGATGATGCATTCATAAGGTGACCAATTTTTTTTCTGCAGGCCAATATGGGACGTTGACCCTCCCATCAACTCTCCCCCAACATTTAAAAAATAAATAATTGAAAACAAAACATATGGATACAGTAAAATTATTTTAGGTATAAATAATTCATTCGCACGATTAGTTGTATTTTGAAATTGATTGAGCCTTTTTAGTCTTCCCTTGTTTTCAATTTGTTCTTTAAACTCTTCACAAGTATTGCACTTAATTATAATCATTGCCTTCATGGTATCATTGTTCAGTTGCAATTTTTCTGCAAACCACAAATTATTTGTTAGTAGTAAACATCATTCCAGTAACTGCATTGATAACCATGTAAACGAAGTGCAAATTATATAGCTTTTATGAGATGCATGCAATGAATATAACTTTCTTTGAAATAATTTGAAATTTGGATCCAGTGCTTATCAGTGGGTGTTTTTTCATTATTCACCATTGTTGAAGGTTTTCAAATTCATTTACAGGCAAATATTTTTTCATAAAAACTATTGTTTCTTTTTTGTCCAATCTATTTAATATTTTACATTAATTAATTTTGAATGCGTATTTTCCTAAAATTGTTTGCTTCTTCAGAATCTATTTCCATTTTCAATTGTTTAAAACAGTGTTTAAACTTTGGGATAGAAAAGTAGAATTGATTCCTTGTTTAAATTTAAAAATAAGATGTTTAATATCTTCCTGAGATTTCGAAAATTGTTCTTTTCTTTTCTTCCAATTTTTTCATGAATTAGGAAATACTGATGCTTATGTTTAGGGGAACTGAATCTCAAGTTCAGCATGTTCATTAAAAAAAAAAAAAAAAAAAAAAACTGAAATGTTTCAGATTTTAAATTACATCTAAAGTGGCATTTTTTTAACATTTTGTGTGTTACTTTTATTTATTAAATATCGTGTTCTTCGCACTTAAACCATAAAATTCATTTCAAGAGCAATATCACAAAATAATTTTAAATTGAGCATATGTTTAAAATTTCCGATATACACAGTCTGACGCGCTGGAGATAAAAAATTTTTTTCTGTACAACGTTGCCATTGCTCGCTTTGAAATTCTTGAATTTGTTATTAAAAAATTCTTTAAAGTTTTACAAAATATTAAATCGATAATAAAACAAATTTCAAATTTCAAATTTAGGCCCATATTTTCGGTAGGATTACGTCATTCAAATTGGATGGCTCTAGGTACTGTTGTTTTATCACAATGCAAGAAACATGCATACATTTATGCAGATTCTTCATTATTTTATTTCTTCAAATATAATTAAGGGCTATAATATTTGGTGGCAACAATTTGAAAAGTGATACAGCCTTTTAAAGTTTTCAACGCAAAATGCCAAAACAAAATTAATAGTCCTTCAGGGCAAATTGCCTTTTTGGACTAATTAACCTATCGAATATTCATTAATTGAAAAAATATGACTTTGAAGAATTTAACACTCTTCCAACTATAGGCAGTAGAACTAGTCATCTTGGTTTGAATATCTCTAGTAATCACTTGTAGTCGGTCTCTGTGTCAGCACAAAATTCTTTCTGATTGGCTATTCGAACTGTGTAAATACAAAAGCGACTATAAATTTTCTCACTTATTCCTTCAATATCCACAGGAAACAAATCTGCTACAGTTTGAACTGCATTGGAAATTATGTGAGCTGTGTAGCTTTATTGTGCGATTTAATTGATATACGAGCACAGCTGGAAGATCAGTTTGTTAATATCAGTGCATGGACAATATGGTTGGTGTTGAGTGGGAAGGCAGATGTCTGTGAATGCA